ATATCTAGCTAGTTCCTTAAATTAATGAACATGTTTGCTTTCTCCTTTGGATTCCCCAAACGTCAATGTTCATCTGTATATCACAGAAGAAAAGAAATTAACCCGCAACTTGTATACAGGGTTCAATATCTTTTCATTTGAAGAGGGGAATCGGATGGCATATGCCTAATCTAATCTACCTTCAATATCAACCATAAAAAAATAAATAAATATATAACAGAATCTTATTTTACCATATAAAGTATATCAGATCGTAAAATTACAAAAATTAATAAGTAAAAAAAATTTTTAATACTTATAAATTTATTTTTTAATTATTTTATTTGTATAATTTAAACTGTATGACAAATATAATAATTATACATAAAAAAAAATTATCACAAATCATTCCTAAATGATGGCGAAGGAAACAATGGACATCATTCCTAAATGATGGCGAAGAAAACAATGCATATATATATATATATATATATAAAATATGCTAGCATCATGATTGAAATGAAAAATAAAAATTGGGGAAACCCCACCTATCCCTTTTCATATAAAACTGTCAGTAAAAAACACATAAACTCTAACCAAAATCATATCTTTAACAAGAAGCCATTCCGTTGTCTCCACGTGATCGCTTCGGTCTCTCTTGTAAAATTCTCAATTTTTTTTAACACCTAACCTTCCTATTAAGGAAAACATGTTACTAGCTAGATTTTTTTAATAAAAAAATTAAATAAAAAAAATTTAAAAATATACTTTTTTAATAAATTTTTATTGAAAATGTTTAACTTAATTTAAAAATAAAAATAAGATTAGAAATTTTAATTTTTTCTTATCATATTTTTATAAAACAATTCATTTTAATTATTTTTTATCTAATCTCTTTTACATGTAGAATTGATAAACACTAATATCTTTTATTAATATATATAAACAGTTTTATTCATAAATATTTACAAATCTCAATTCACAAATGTTTTGACTCAATTATTGGCATTGAAAAGATAACAAAAGAATTTGAATCAATGTTTTCAATATAGTACAGATCACCTTACCAATTAAGCCAACTCTAACATATTAAAATGCTCATAATTTTTTATTTTTTTCAAATGGAATTTTCTCGAGATCTTGTTAATCTTAATTTTAGTTCTGATTTTTTCAATGCTCCAATGTTTCTCTTGTATCCAACACAACTTGCCTGTAACTGTAGCCGTTTTTTTCTCCACATGGACCGGCAGCCGTCCCTTTCACACCGGAACAAGCTCACCAGAAAAGAGCCGCGTGGTCCGGCTGACGACTTAGGCCAGACAATCCTTGCTGACATGGCAAGACACGTAGGGCCACCATGTTTCTCTTCTTACATGTCTGGGGTCCCACATGTCCCCCCTCCAAGATACAACCGCTGTGCACACACATATTTTAGGGCATAACCCTCGGTCAACCGGCCCCCAAAGCACTATTCATACCTTTGTGCAAGAAGACGTGTGATGACCTGGATTTTAAAACCAAAACTATGTCT